TCTCTCTCTCTCTCTCTCTCTCTCTCTCTCTCTCTCTCTCTCTCTCAAGAATGACACTCTCTACATGACACCATTTTAGATCAGGCTTCCTGGACCAGAGTTGCTTTGCTTTAACACCAGTGTCATGGTGGCTAACAACTGTCACTAGGAATACACCTCAGTTAGAATACATCAAACAGTCCCTACTGCATACAAAATGCTGTGTTATATTCTGTGAGATTAAGAAATGTAAGGATGTTTTTCTCCAGGAAATGGCATAGGTGTGAAAATCCCAGCTACCACCAAAGACCTTGCCAGAGGGATGGTGGAGTCCAAGGAGGAAAAAATGCTGTCTTCCATGGTGGGAAGCTTAAATAGATGGGAAGATGTAGGGCGGGGCAGTCAGTGTTGATGGTGCAGAGGTGAAAAATGTTTTTGAGGCCATTCTTTGACAATCCACGTGCAGAAATCACTTTTTAAAAGTTAATATTTCTGATGAGTCTTGTATTGCCCTAATTGATTAACTGAAAAACAGGCCCTTTGCTCCACTGCTCTCTCTCCAGGAACTGGCCACATGGCTCTTTGACAAAGAATAAAGGATTCACTTGGGGGAGGTGCAGATTGGAAACCAAAACAAAACAAAAGCACGGGCATCTCCTTACTGTTGCTCAACCTCGTGCCTCCATCTGCAGGAAGTGACTTTTCCTTGTTTATAGGTTTTATGGTCCCAGGACCAGACTGCCCTTACCCCAAAGGTGCTTAGGACATGCCTGAGACAATTTTATAGTTGCTATGGCTCACGTTTTTTCCTAGAGGTGGGAAGTGCAACCATCGGACTTAATGCTGAGGGTTGAGCTATTAGTGTAATAGATTTAAGAATTTCTAATGCAAAATTATGAGACTATGCCTGGATGCAGAGGAATGGAACGATGCAGGGAGAGTTTCCCCTTGTTGAAATGTTACTAAGTGCACGGGCTTCACGTAAGAACCGGCTTTCAAGCAGAACTTCTCTCTCCCAGATAAATTCTTTGGTCAGGAAATCCCCATACTCCACCCAGACCCCATTTCGGCCCTTTTAAAATGTTACCTAAAAGTTAGGGAAGAACAGTGGTGCAAAGGTGGTTGGGATCCACAGAGCTGAGAAACCCAGCTTACTTTTCCAAAAAGAAGAAAAGGGCAACCGTGAAGCGCCAAGCCCTCTGCAGCCCACGCCATGGAGCTGTGCATGAGCTCAGAAAGCAGACAAGTTTGGGATTCATTTTAAATCATAATAAGCTTAGCCGGATGGGACATAAAAAATGCTTCAGAGCAATTCCACCTGACTTCTTGAGGGGTGAGGAGGCTGTTGGAGCTTATGGGTGTGGAGAGAACTAGAATGAGACAAGGGGGCAGAGAATTAAATGGAGGGTGAGTTATGAGAAGGCTACACGTGGTTTTCTCTGGCAAAGCCTCTTGGTCTTCTATCAAATGCAGCTTCCCCAAAGGTGTGGCTGCAGAGATAGTACAAGTAGAAATTATTTGTCCTCCTCTCCTCTGAGACCACAAGCCACCTCTTCATATAGACCTGTAACTGGTGAAAAGTAACAGTCAGTGCTTTGTTTTCACTCTGTCTTACCTTCATCTAGCACAGGAACAAGAAGTTCACCTCCAGGTGCTGCTTCTAAAAGAAATGCTGTGGAAAATAGGGTTGGAAGAAGAACAGGGCCACTCCTATGAAGTCCCCATACTTTTCTTGAGTTACCCTTTGAACAGCAAGGATTAACATAGCCCCCAAGAACATAGATTGCCCCAAAGCTCTGAATATCAGGGTTACTGGTATTCAGATTAGAAACTAATGAAGCTCCAACTCAGATACCATTAAAGTCAACCCCCCAAAAAACTAGGCCAATGTCATCTTTTTGCCCACTGCCCAGTCAGGTCACTCCCTTTCACCTTTGCACAATCCCTGTATCTATTAACCTTCTGTGGGCAGTACTGAGGGGTGGGGTTGCCTATGTTTTATTGATCTGATGACCTGTTGGTCCTAAAGAAAAGAAAACTGATTTGCATTTCTGGCCTTCTCTTTCTGGAAGAACACAAAAGGTTAATGTTGGTCACTCATAAAGATGTTGAAAGAAAGAATAAAGCAGCTATTACCTCTGGGAGCCCCAGCCCTATAGCTGCACATAAGTGTGTGTGCGCGTGCACACACACGGGCGTGCATGCGCGCGCGCGCGCGCACACACACACACACACACACACACACACACACACACACACACACACTGCTGGCCGCTGCAGCCCTATGCACCACTGCACTTGAGTAAACCAGTTCCCTGGTGGTCCTTTAAAAGATGAGGTGCTTCCTAAAAGGGGGTGATGGTTTCCGTGTTGGCAGCCCTCGTCCCTTCCTGCCAGCACTACTCTTTTGTTGAAATCCACTGGTTTGACACGGGCCAGTTCAGCCAAGCAGACAGCCCTGCTGGACACCGCGGCTCCCTGAAAGCATTTTCTCTCCCTGGGGAGCAGAGTGAAGACAGGTGAAGGGCGCATCAGTGGGTTGGCTTCCGCTGCCAGGGTCCGGGGGCCTTGTCTCCCCCCTTCCCTGGCAACCTGCCCTCACCCCCACCTAGTTATCCCTGACTGGAGCCTGGAGCCGGGGAGCTGAACAGGAATTCGATACCCCTCTCCATGAACACCTTCCCCCGCCCCCAAGCCCTCCAGTGTCTGGAAGCATTTCCCACGCTCCAGGGCTGGAGTCCACTGTCCCTCCTGCCAAGTAGCCCACACCTTTCCAAAGTGACAATGCTGAGCCCGGGCAAAGGGCCACATCCCTCTTGGGCCTCTTGACTTTTAGGAAGGGAACTCGTTTAAAAAGCCCTGCTTTTTAAAACTTTTAAAACCCCCCTAAGCCAGGTGGCCTCTGTCCCAAGTGGATCAGGCTCTCCATTTTAAGACTGGCCTCAGGCTATGTAAGTGATTGGGGAAAAAAAACAACATTGTGCAAAAAAGAAAAAAATAGCCTCAAACCCCTGAACCCAATCTCCATATTAAATTTAAAACAATACTAGAAGTTAGGTTTTGTTTTAAAAAATAAATAAATAAATCATTCAGGAAAGAAAGTAGATCCCCCAGGACAATTTAGACTTGAACTTTAATATCCTTGGCTGGGTTTTTGGTCTGCAGCTGATGGTCAGATAGCAAAGACAAAAATCTCTAAAATAAACTCATTATTAAGCTTACTGCATCAATTCATTACCACAGTAGCTATTCACAACCAAATATTTCTCTTTTCTGGATCAAGCTGAGGTTAGTATTCATTTCAACCAATATGCTTATTTCTTTTCTTCCATTGAGAGAGATGTAAAAATAGTCATCTAAAGGCCTTCTTTTTCTCGCACAGATGTATTTACACGGCCATAGGCCTCTTGAGTGCCACAAGATACAATCAGATAAGTTGGCCAGGGCTATAAATATTGTACGTGCTTCTACTTCTAATTTCCCTTCCAAAATACTTTTGGAATGGCAGGTCTGGCTGAGTAACAACCAAGAAATTTCTGTGCCCAAGACGTGGGCCCACACGCCCATGGGAGCAAGCCTGTATTGTTCAGATTCTGATTGGTCTCTGTGGCTTCATGCTGGTTACTCGACCTCTCTATGCCTCAGTTCCCTAGCCTGTAAAATTGGAAGGATAATACCACCCATGAGTACCTGTGTAGTACAATACTGCATAGGAGTAGGGTTGTTGTGAAGATTCAATGTGGCCATCCATGGGAAGTGCTTAGCATAGGGCCAGGTATATGGTAAGCTTTCCCAAATGGATAGATGCCAGTTGGTGACAATGTGAAGAAGACACAGGAAATGTGTATGAAATAATGGGGAATCCGAAGACCCAGTTTTGAGACCAGCTCTACACCTTCCTTGCTGTTCACCTCGGAAACTTGAATTCACCAAATCAGTCTCTGTGCCTGAAATTTAGGTCTAACTTGTGTAGAACAAGCAATAATGTTTGGGCAAGCAAGCTGCAAGTGTCAAAGCATTAGTCACAATTAGCTAGGGTTGTCAGGGTTGTTTTTAAAGCATCAGAGGGCCTTAGAGGAGGGAATTATATATATTCCTGGTCCATTTTATGTTCTTTCTGTGGCAATTATTAAGGAAGGAGGATATGTAATCTATTAAGGTTGCATAGGATCTTCATTTCCTGATTTTGGACAAAATTCTCCAAATTGGCACCGATTTTTAACTCTGTTGCTTGGAGCTGGTGAGGTTCTGCCAAAAGTTGAACTTGGGTATTTTGAAAGAGTTTTCTTTCTTTTACTCTCATGTTCACGGTGTGGAAAAGTCCAGAAGAAACAAATATACGACGACACTTCCATTGTGTGCATTAGGGAAGAGAAAGGATGGTAAGATCTAGAGTCTTTATCGGCTTGGAAATCTGCTGGGCTCACTCCTACACCTTCAGCTCATCACACTGATTATTGTTCAAGACATCTTTATAAAAGGACTCTTTGATGCTAAAGAACATGTAAATAGAATGAGAGTAACAGGAAACATAAAACCCCCCATTCGAGAAGTCATTGATCATGCTCATTAAGTCTTTTTAATTGTATGCCTATGAAATTTCAGGTTCAAGATTAGATTTCTTCTTTTGATATCAGTATGAGGTTTCCACATTAACTGTAAGGAAGGGTGGATCCTAAGGTTTGTATGTCTTTTGTTTTTAATTCAGTTGAGGCAGTGGCTAAAAATTAAAGGGGAAAAAGAAACCTCTAAACTGTTGAGATTTAGTCATCGATATAGTTTTGGAGTAAATTCGTAGTTTGCTACTCATTGCCTAGCCAGGCAACAAATCTATTTTGTTTGGATCTGAACAGCAGTTTGGAAGAAAAAAAAATCGTATTGACGGTAATAGCTTAAAACATGAAATTGTTTTTATTCCCAGCTTGGAGAAATTGCAGGGCACGTTTTGTTTAGGCAATCCCTTTGACTCCAGTCTGAATACAAATGGAATACCAAAACTATTGGGCATGTTCCCCCTTATCTTCTACCCAGAGACTGATTTCATTACCATAATTGCAGGCTTGCCTGGCTCTTGGCAGCTTCTCCCCTCCAAGACCCTTAACAGCCTTGCAGACGATTGTTGCGGCTCAGTTGTTCTGTCTGCAGGCAGAAGGGGATGAGACTGCAGAGGAGAAAGGTTATGTCTCCAAAGGCTCAGCATTGCCCTGTCACCGTCTGGCTTGGTTCTGCACCACCCAGCTGTGCACTCCTTCTGCACTTGTCCTTCCAGGGTTGTGTGTGGGTCCTGATCACTGTCACTCTCCAGCAACCATCCGTTCTAGCAAACAGCATTGATACGAGACATATGATGTGTTCCTTTTTTTCTCTTCCCTTTTTGTCTTTTTGGGGGATTGCTAAAAGTTCCATAATTATTTATAAGCATGCAAGAGATACTTACAAGACTGGGGTAATGATGGCAGCATGGAATAAAGCCAATGGTGCCCTTCTAGGCATTCCACACCAGAGGAAAGATGCACTTGACCTGCCGCAGCCCGAGTATACTCTGGGATTGAAGGCCACACTCCTGACCTTGTGTTTGGACCACACAAGGCCACAGCCCAGGCCCATCATCAGCTGGGCAACTTCCTTTGACTGTCAAAGTGAGTAGAATTCAAACCTCCCCATTCCTAACACAAAAGGAAGGGGCTGTTTGTCTCAGGATGGGCACACCCTGGTGTAATTTGGCAGAGCATCCCAGCAACTCTCTCAGATGTCAGGTTAGGGCAAAACTAGAAATCCATCTGCCCAGTACATCTTGCGCTGATTACTTGGAGCACATGTTTCTGATTCATTTGCACATAACTCATCCAGGGGGTGTTGCAAGAGCTATGTGATGGCCAAAGGAACCCAATGAATCTTTTATTATATTTTTTAAACAAGTTTCTCTATGTTGATTGTCTCTGAGAGCCAAGAAGCTGCATTCTTCCAGTCCTGTGACTTCCAAATTAGGCTCACTAAATTCAAGAGCAAGTTCTGACCTTGGCTCTGGGACTATCTGTTTTGACCCTGAGGGTCAGTGGAGGAATGTACATGCTGGGTCTAGACTATGGGATGAGTGAAAATCACAGCTGTGAAAGCCTGGACCTTGAGGACCTTGTGCTCACATCACTACACAACCTGTGGCATCCAGCCTCATCGGCACTTGTGGTCTCTTTGCTCCCTTGATTGTATGAGGAGACAATTCCTCTGTTATTTACTTTTTGAGAAACAGTGCGGCAAAGTTGGTAAGAGCATGGGCTCTGGAGCTAGACTACCCATATCTGCCAGTTACTAGCTATGCAGTCTTAGGCAAGTTGTTAACGTCTGTGTGCCAGTTTTATCTGTCTGTAAAAAGCTTTCTGTTGCTGTCTAACAACAACCCCAAAACTTAATAGCTTGAAGCAATGATCATTGCTCATGGTCTTGTGGGTCAGGAATTTGAACAGAGCTCAGCTGGCAGAGTTCATCTGTGCTCCATGTGATATCAGCTGGGGTGACCCAACTGGGCTGGAGGACCCAAGATGTCCCCACTCACATGATGGGCTGTGTAGCTGGCCATTGGCTGAGAAGCCTCAGATCTCCTCTACATGGCCTCCCTCCTCACATGTGCAAAGCAGCATAGGCTGGGCTTCCTTAGAGAATGGTAGGAACACTCCAAGAGAATGAAAATGGAAGCTGCAAGACCTCATGAGGCTTGTCACATTGTTACTCCTACCACATTCTACTGGACAAAGTGTGTCACAAGGCCAGCCCAGATAGAAAAGGAGAGAAAATAAACTCCACCTCTTGGTAGGAGGTGTGGCACACACATACAAGATGGGAGAAATTGCCAGGGCCATCTTTGCAGATAACCATAGGGGCCAACCAACCTTATAAGGTTGTTATGAGGACTCAATAAGTTAATATATATAAAGCATTTAGAACAGTGGTACAGAGTTAGTATTCAGTGAATGTTCAATTTTATTATAATTATTCTTGTGTCACTTCAGGAACATATATAGTACATGTTTACTCCTTGAATTAAAGACTTCCCAGCAATGTGGTCATCAGTAAATCAGCGACCCTAGTGATGAATTTTCTCTTCCCACCTTGAGGCCCAGGTACATCAGTTCTCTCTAGTCATGGGGTTCATTTGGACCACCCCTGGATGTCTTCCATTCTGTAACACCATGCAGTCTTGGCTATCCTTCATGAGTGTCACATCCATCGCTTACCTTTGCTCTCTCAGACTTTTTTCCAAGGGTCACCCAGCTTGGAGGCTATTGACTCCTCATTGACCCTGGCCTGTTCTGAATTCTTCAGGTCACCATAGAGGTGGTGGACGGTCCTGACTCTGAAGCAGATAAAGATCAGCATCCGGAGAATAAGCCCAGCTGGTCAGTCCCATCCCCCGACTGGCAGGCCTGGTGGCAGAGGTCCTTGTCCTTGGCGAGGGCCAACAGCGGGGACCAGGACTACAAGTACGACAGTACCTCAGACGACAGCAACTTCCTCAACCCCCCCAGGGGGTGGGACCGTCCGGCCCCAGGCCACCGGACTTTTGAAACCAAAGAGCAGCCAGAATATGGTGAGTTTACCACCCAGTAATATAAAATTGGTGGGGAGAAGAAATGAGGATGATGAGGACATGGAGCCAAGCAAAACCCAGTTTACAGTATGTGGCTTTTGGTCTTCTATGAGGCGTACCTCATAAAGACTCTGTTCCGCAGAAGCCCCAAGGAGGCACCAGCAGCCACATTTTTCTGGAAAGACTATAATTTTAAAATCACACCAATTATCCTAGGAGAGATTTTTTTTTTTTTTTAGTCAGGGGTCTTTGAGGTTTTGCCTTTGCCCGCCCCCCTAAAAAGCCTAACTTTATTTCTAAAAATGAAGAAATCACCAAATCAACTTCCTTGCATATTTTACTACAAAAATTCATACTGAAAATAAATTTAGTAAGAGATGTGTCCAGCTGCTTCCTTTGACCAGGCCACTGTGTTATGTTTGACATTGGCAGTGTTATGGCCCTTGGGATGCCACATGAACATGTGTTTCATGGGTTGTCTAAGTAAGGCCCCCCCCACCAGTAAGTTTCAAGACCCCAAGTTGGGACTTCTAGTGTCTCATGTTTTTAGAGTAGCATAAGTGAGGTAACAAACAACTTTCAAACTCAGTAATTTAAATAATAAAAGTTCATTTTTCACTTGAGTTTGGATGGGAGACAATGTTGGGGGAACTCAGCTCCACTCAGTCATTCAGGGACCCAGGCTCCTTCCATCTTGGTGCTCCAACTGTTAGGGCCTAAGAGTTATCCACTGGATGCTCTGTATCGACCTGGCAGCTAAGAAGAGAGAGACACAACCTGAAAAAGGCACACATGCTCTTAATGCCCTCAGCCCGAAGATGACACACATTACAGCTGCTCAAATTCTAATGACAGGACCTGATCATATGGCCTCACATAGATGCAAGGAAGGCTGGGAAATGTATTCTGTGTCTCCAATAACAAGAAAAAACAGCCTTCATGAGGAATCAGGCAGCATAACTTCTGTTAGAAAGTATTTGATGTCTTACAAATGCATCTATCATTGTAATGTTCTTGTGGTCTCACCATCAGCAATTAGGAGCAAACACTGTGTGGTGAAGACTTGTCTTGCACCATTTACACTCTCACAGTTACACCTGTTTTTCAGCAGAAAGACCAGTTGTATATTGGAAAATTATTTCTGCCTGCTAATAAATGATTCTAAGCAACTTATAAAACAATAAGACAATTTTTTTCCAGCTGCATCATTCAGTTGTCCAATGGACATTTATTAAGAGCATATTTTATGTTCGGCATTATGCTAAGTGCTAGAAATCCAAAAATGAGCAAGACACAGTCTTTCCCTAAAGAGGGTCTCACTTATCTGTGGAAAAGGGGAAAAAATTAACTAATAGAGCAAAATAGTGCCATGATAGAGATACTAGATACAAATGCTAGGGGAGCAGCAAGAGAGCAGAGCTCCCATACCCCTTCTAGCCAGGAGGCCCGTGAAACCTTCTCCTTTCCCAGAGGAAGTCCAATTTATCTGTTTTCCAAGAGGAAGGACTGGGAATGGTGGCCAACATACATACAGCACTTACCATGCAGCAATGCTTCTTCATGACATCTAACATATATCATATTGGCTCATTTAATCAGCTCTTTGAGGCAGGTACCCGTTTTACAGTTGTGTAAACTGAAGCCTAGAGAAGTTAAGCAACTTGACCTCAAGGAGTCATCTCCATCAGTTTGGGTCCAGAGTCTGTCCTCTTAATAACTATGTCATTCTGCCTCTCTAGGGGGAAAAATAGTCCATCCTTTAGTAAAGTGAATTTAGAAATGATCACTTAGGCTGAAAGATAGGAGTGGGAGGAAAAGTTGGGGGCTGTTGAACAGAGAAACACACAGGATCTCTGAGAGCCAGCCTGACGCTGCACAGCTTTACGGCTTAACCTGTTTGCCCAGCCCCCACAGAGCATTGTTTCTGTGAGTGGGGCTTAGACCCATGGCATCAGAATCCCTTGGTTGCACGTTAAGAAATGCCAGTCCTGGCCCCCAGCCCTGTCCCTCTATCCCAGGGGTTGGCAAACTGTGGCTCGCAAGCCACATTGCAGCTCTTTGGGTACATTCCATCTCAAAAGTTTGCTGACCCCTGGAAGAGCCAATCCTGTCCCTCACAACAATTTAAAAATTATTCGAGAGCCATAAAACAAACGAAATCACCATTATGTGAATAATAGCCTTTAAAATTTTATAAATGAGGGGCCAGCCAAGTGGCTCAGTTGGTTAAGAGCTTGCTCAAGAGTTTGAGCTCTGAGCAACAGCCGTTCGAGTCCTGGCCCGAGCTGAGCAGCCGCTGAGCTGCCAACAGGTGGCAGGATGGCTCAGCTAAAAAAAAAAAAAAACAACATTAAAAAAACTGATAAAATTTTATAAATGAAACTATGATAATTTTATTTTCATTTTCAATTTTACTTCAGAGCCACATGTATGTACCCAAAGAGCCGCATGTGGCTCGCGAGCCACAGTTTGCCGACCCCTGGCGGCTCTTCCATCTCAAAAGTTTGCCGAACCCTGGTCTATCCTAATGGTCCTCAAACTATGGTTCCCAAACTAGCTGCATTAGCATCACCTGGAACCATGATAGAACTGTAAGTTTTCAGTCTCCTGACCCCCAGGCCTACCAAATCAGACATTCTGGGTGGGTCTCCAAAATCTATGTTTAAACACACTTTCCAGGAGCTTCTGGTACATTGAGCACCACTATTCAAGATCAGTGCTTCTCAGCCTTGGTTGCTCATTATACTCATCTGGGGAATTTTTTAAATTCCCGATACCCAGATTTCGCTCCAGACCAATAAGTTGGGGTTCCTGGAGGCGGGGGCCAGGTGTTTTTTAAAGCTCCATGAGTGACTCCAATGTACAGCGCAGGTTGAGGGCCACTGCTGCCCTTCTACTGGTTCAGAATGTCCAGCTGTGAGACCTGGAGCGTGTCTGCCTTTTGCTTCTGTGTTTCATTTTTTAGCCAAGGTCAGTAGATGATTTTCATGCTCATTGAAGCTTGAAAATCAATGCTAGAAACAACTCTCTCATCTAAAGCTTTTACAGAGTACCCTTTGCCAAATTCATGAACATTAAGCACCTCCCTCCATTTCATCCTTGAGGATAGAATTTGCTTCTACTGGAGCAGTTACTGCCACAGCCACCCTCACCCCAGCTTTCTGGGCCTACAATTCCATGTAGGTGCCCTGCATCTAAATCTTACAGTATCCCTAGGCCACGAAGAAACTCTCATCTTTTATGATTTTGGAGTCTCTCTTAGAAACGTCCTCATCATTGGACTAGATATCAGGATTGCTACTTTATAAAGAAAAGTGTGTCTCTTGTTATACCTCTAAAGCAGTGCTTCTCAGACTTTAATGTGCATACAAATAACTTGGAGGTCTTGTTCAAACACAGCTTCTAGTGTAGTAAATATAGGACCAGGGCAGGAGCCCAGGTCAGGCTGACACTGCTGGCCCTTGGACCACACTTGTAGTAATAAGACTCTCAGTGTGTTGTAGATGCTTTAATATTTGCATAATGAATGAAGAATTAAGACTGAAGAATTGTTTCTCAGACTAGCTCACAGTTACATGGAATTTCCAGAATTTTATACAGCATTGGATGAACTGAGTCCTCTTTTATTTCAATCAACGAGAAACTCTGGAGCGATTTCTCAGTATTTATCCCTATGTTAAATGCTGTGGAGGATGCAGGGAGAGAACTTATGGCCCAAGAAGGTGAGGTTCATGCACTGAGAGAACATGTGCGTCACTGTACTTAAGGGTCCGTGGCCTTGTCTGAGATGGGCTAAAATTGCCACAGGAACTGGTCTTTGTGGAGGAGGGTGACCTCAGATTTTTGAAGGTAGGATTTTTAATAAGGATTTAAATGTCTATGGCCAAAGAGTGTTTCAAAAAATCCTAAGTAAAAATAAATAGAATAGAATGGCATCTTTGGAATAAATTATAAAATATACAGCAGAAGTTAACTAAATCTAACTTGTGATCATGGAAACATGAGACAGCTCAACTTTGGACTGTATGTGTTTGAGATACTGCATTTTAAATACTTTCTGTGTTGATACTGAAGGTATCACTCAGGGCAAAGAAGGAGTTCAAATAAATCATTTTCTGTCAAATAGCGATAGACCATTCCCAGAGTTTTTCAGAACAACCTGCATAATAAAATCAGATGGGCAGTGCTTATTGTAACCTCGGTTAGGACTGTTCTTTGCAGTTCTATAACTGATCATGGTCTTATATATTAATAGAACATTGCACAGTGATTTTTCCAAAGGGCTTTTCTTGGTAATGTTGAACTCTGGCCACACTAAGTGGATGTCATAAAGCACGGAGGCCAACCTGGTCCAGAATCAAAGCTGCAAGAATATCAGGATATAGAATAGGATACAGCAATAGCAGACAAACCTCAGATCTAATCGCAACTCTGCCAAATTTGAGCTGTGAACCGTACGCAAGTATCTTAATCTCTCTGAGCCTTAGCTTCCTTATCCATAAAAGGAGATTGTTTCCACCTACCTTGCAGGATTATTATAGGAGTTAAGTCAGTGTGTTAAACAGAGCAGCTGATTAAAGTAGGCCCTCAATAATTGGTAGCCACTACCACCTAGGATTAGTGGTGGAGGCTTGCCAATAGCCAAGTCAAAACCCAAGTCACTGCAGTTGCCCGAACATTATAACTGGCCCGCAGAACTCTAGTGCCCTAAAACAATATAATGACTACTTTAAAATTTCAAATGACATCCTTGAAACCCAACTCTCAGCCCACTGTACTGTGCATTGTTTTCTTTCCTTACTGAGCAATTTGATGTCAAAGATAGGAGCTGTCAAAGCACCATATAAATGTTCACAGAGACTGGTTTTTTGTCATTGTTGTCATCTTTGCAATTACTGCTGCTCACATTCATTTTCTACTCTGAGCAATGATCCCTGGTAGGTGAGCAAATGAGAACAAGCTTGTTTCATTATAGCAGAAAGGAATATTGCCTTCAAAGCTTTGTTCCACAGTCAGAAATTGCTCCCATGGCCTTTGAACACATTAAATGAATAGAAACACGCAAGAGGAGGATCTTTGCTGGAACATTCATTTGGGACCGTATGCTATGAAGGCTTCAGGGTGCTGAGCTGACATATACACGTTCCTAGGAGGTGGTTTTATTTCATTGTGGGCCCACTAGAAATAACTAGCTACCTGGCTATATAATTAACTGTTCTGTACCTAACTTTGGGGGACCTATATAAAAAATGTTTGGAAAATAAATGCCTTTGTGAGCGCCTAAAATAAAGACATGGCGAACTAACGTACTGGGATAAGAAATCAGTCATGGTCCCAGAGTCTACTAGCCATCAAGAGAACATATCTTAGGAGAAATTTTATGGTATATTTATAACTGTTAACTTTTGTTGCTTAAGAAACCAGCTCCCAAATATAGCGGCTTAAAAGTACAAACATGTTCTCTCAAGAGTTTGCAGGTTGTCTGGACTGTGCTTCTGCTCTGGGCTGGCTTGGCTGAGGCTGGATAGTCTAGGATGGCTTTACTCATAATGATGGGGTACCAGCTGGACAGCTGGGGTGCTGAGATGCCTGGGGCCTGTCTTCACCTGGTCCCTCATCCTCCAGGACACTGGTCCTGGGCTCTGCCATGGTGATGGAAGAATTCCCCACAGAAAGAGGACAAACCCTTAATGCATGAACACTTTTCCAACCTCTATTTGCATCACATTTGCTATTTTCCCATTGGCCAAAGCAAGTCAGGTGGCCTGGCTAGGGTCTGCCTGAGAGGAGAGTAACCAAAGAGGTGGATATGGGGAGAGGAATTATGGAAGCCATTTTTCAGATACTCTGACACAGTATTAACAGTCAATAATTTCAATCTAAGAAACCAAAACAAGAAATTACCTCATGCAGAGATTCCAGTATAAGCCTCATGGTGTGTTTAATGCTAAAATTTCAAAGTTCAGGATGATATTGCCCAAATATTATGATATTACTGCATAGGGAGGAAGTTCGCAAGAGATTTCTAGATGGTTGAGACCCCGTTGCTTCTGCAAATTCTAGTGGGACACCTCTTGGTATCATTAGATTGTGTCCTATGCTGGTACCCACCACATGGGTGACATGAATTCTACCTATGTGATTTAATAAGCTTTTTCTGACCTACTTGTCCCCTTTTTATGAGTCTAAAGATATTATTGTGACTTGTTGCTGTTGTTTCCTTTAACAAATTAGGCCTTGGTGGTACATGTAGGATGTGGTTGAGTGTATTCACATGTGCATATAACCCCACTGCACCTGGATACGCCCACTGATAACAGTGCAGTCGTGTGATTGTTCCAGCCACCTCTCTGGTGTTCTCAGGGAGATTACCAAGAGATACCAGACTGCAAAGTTCTCGGAGGGAGCAGCAGCAGCCCCTACCTCAGTGATTTCTCCCTCTGAAACTAACGTGTCTCTCCAGTTCTACCATGTTGATGCTTAGTAAGCGATGGGAGAGGTGAGGAAGGCTAAGGCTGGAGAAGCAGGCCCAGATCCCTCACAAAGCAGTAGTTTCAAACACCTGCTTAGCCATGTGGTTGGAAAACCATTTCTTAGAAGAACATCAAAGTTTGGAAAAATCCTTTTTTGGGAGGATTTAGAAATGGATGGGGCCCAAGGGGGCAAATGAGGTGTGAACAGAGCTCCACTCTGTATCAGGGGAGAGGACGCAACTATGAATCCCCCACCCCACCTCGACTCTCTTGAATGGGCTGAGGAGACTCAGGGGGCCTGTGTTTGCCTGAGGAGTGTTCAGAGTGAATGCCATGTAAACAGCAGCCTGGGAGGCTGGCACGGGGCCCGCAGTTCAGGTGGAAACATGTGTGGACTACATTCTTGCCAGGCCTACATAATCACAATCACACGACCTGTTATGAATGGAGAGGACCCCTTCACGGCAAGGCACATGCCTGTAGCTCTGAGCTGGCCACCGACAGAGGCCCCAAGGCTGTAGGAAGATTTGGATGAACCAGGAGAAATGATTACCGAGTAGAGATGCTGCAGAAAGATTCGTGTTTCCAAGATTAAGAGCTTAGCACTAGAGCCCACGTTTTCCTTTCTGTTACCGTTATGACCTTAGTCACCCAGTTGCTCCAGGACTGAATTTCTTACTTTTAAAAAAAAGGACTTTCATGTTGATAGTATACCAAACTTCCCATCCCTCTCACACCTGAGGCCCCTGTAGCCTGGTCTGCTTGCCCTTTTTTCCATACCATTTACTGACTTCTCATCTACTATATAATTTACTCATTTTTTTCTGTTACCTGATTATTGTCTGACTCTTCTCACTAAAATATTAGTTCTACCAGGGCAGGGAATCTTTGAAAGTTTTATTTAGTGATACATCCTACCTATCTAGAATTGTTCCTGGCTCAAAAAAAAAAATATTCTGGAGATGGAGGTTGACCTTAACAGACCATCTTGAGCTTCACCGTTACGTATAGGTTATCTACTTCTGTGTAGCTAGACATCCCAAAACTTCATGGCTTAAAACAACTGCAGTTTATTATTTCTCATGATCCTGTGGCTCAGGAGTTCAGGCAGCGCCCCACTGGGTAGTTTCTCTACTCCTGAGGGAATCGTCTGCATTCAGCTCTCCACTGGAAAGGGCTGGAGGTTCAGGGAAGCTTCACTCACATATTTAGTGTCATGGGTCCTTGATGTGGCCTCCTCTCTTTCCATGTGGTCTCCCATAATTCACAGGGTTAGCCTCAGCTTTTTTCATAGAGATTGGATTTTCCAGAGCAAAGGTTAGAAGCTGCCAGGCCTCAAAGCCAGCACAGAGTCTAGGAAAGGGGAAAAAGTGTTTCTCTCTCTCTCTCTCTCTCTCTCTCTCTCTCTCTCTCTCTCTCTCTCTCTCTGTAACTGTACGCACAGGGAGAATTAATGGTGGTCATTTTTGAAACTATCTAACATATTATTCCATGATGCCATGCTCTGCAAATGTATGCATTCTCAACAAGTACTTACTAGGCACCTTGCAGGGGACAGGCTCTGGTCATGGGCTAACCACCTCAGTACCCAAAACCTCGGACAGAGTGCCTGCCTTCATGAAATTAATCCCTAAAATGAACCCTGGGACTTTTAGCCTTTTGACTCCAGCTGGCATCTGGTCCCCTCCAACAGTGAGAGCGATGGAAGTAGACAATTAGCAGGCTGTATGACGGGGCGGATTTGAGAACTCTGGGTGAGGCTGTGACCATCTCCCTGGCTCCCTTCCAGATTCCACAGATGGTGAGGGCGACTGGAGTCTCTGGTCTGTCTGCAGTGTTACCTGTGGGAATGGAAACCAGAAGCGTACCAGGTCCTGTGGCTATGCATGCACTGCAACGGAATCGAGGACGTGTGACCGCCCAAACTGCCCAGGTGGGTTTATGCAGGTGTGTGGCTCCAAGTTCAAGGGAAAGCTTTGAATTTGTATTTAAAAACTTATAGAAATTGACTGTTTAAAAGACAGTTATTTCCCTAGTAAGAATTCTGACCAGGCTGACACAAGAGACAAATAACAAGCTTAATGGATGAAATGATGGGTTTTCTGAATCCTATGTACAATTGCAGTAGCTGTGACCTAGAAGACAATGCCACAGTGTACTTACTTCATTGAAAGGAGGGACTCTGGTAAACTTGGGTCTTTGATATGAGATTTGTTGTGCCTTTAAGAGATGCATAAAGATAGCCATTCATGTTCTGATAAAGAAGCCAGGATGAGAGGCTTGACAGTTGTCTGCAGGAAACCCATGCAGTTAGCCCTGTCCCTAATGCCTGAGCATTGCCGATGGCTCCCAAGGGAGCAAATTGGGGCAACTTGGCAGTTAAGTACCACTTTAAACGACATTGTCAGTGTTTTAAAAAACAAATTAATTGCACACTTGTTGAGAGGCCATATTAGGGTTGAAAAATACTTTTGACTCTGTAGCAGTAGTTGTCACACCATGGCCTGTTTTTTTTATGACCTGGACATTTGTAAAGGGTTGTGAAGAAGAAGGAGAAGAAAAAGAAGTAGAAGAGAAGGAGGCAGAGGAGGAAGAAGATGCAACCGAGTCCTTATATGACCCACGAAGCCTAAAATATATACTCTCCAACCCTTTACAACAAAAGTTTACCAACTCCTGGTTTGTAGCTTTCCATTTACTGTGTGTTCCCCATTGCCAGGTAGAATACCAGCCCAAAGAATATCTTAGGCTCTTCCAAGAAACCACACATTCTAAATGGCTTCATCTCAAAGAAATTGAGAAACAGGACATTTAATCTCTGCAGCCAGGACTTCCTTTTTTCTACCCCCAGAGACTCTGTTCTCAAACCTAAGGCTGAGATTTGGGACAAAAGAGACGCAGAAGAGCATAGGGGTTTCAGAGGAGAGAAAACAAGGACCAGGATGGACATGTGTATGTCAGCAAAGAGTGTGTGTAGAAAATAAGGCTGAAAGGTAAGAAGCTGGGGTTCTGGCTCCCTGTCAACCACGCCGATGGAGTTCAGAAAGTGGAGCAAACATAAAAGATGCTTTTCCTGTGTGAATTTCCTAAGTGAAACTGAGTTGGAAGCCTGGTAGGATGGGATTTGGATGGGTAGAAATAAACCAATAAATAATAATAATATGAGAAGGAGTACAGGAAGAATATGAAGAAGGAAGAGAAGTCAAATCTGAAAGAAGATGAAGAAGAAGATGAGGAAGGTAGACCAAAAGAAAATGAAGATAAATATGAAGAAGGTGAAGAGGAAGATGATAAAGAAAAAAGTGAAAAAGATGATTCTGAAGGATAAGTTTTTTTGAGTACTTTAGTATGACAAATTTCTAAGGACTTTAGATGGAGTTTTTTATTTAATTCTCACAGTAGCCTCATAAAATCGGTATGTATTATTGTACCCATTTAACGGCTGTGGAAACCGAGGCAGAGGGGTTAACGTGCCTAGAGCCAACACGGGCAGCAAGTGATCAATCTGGAATCGGAATCCAGCCAGTCTGATTCCAGAGTCTCTGTGTTTAACCATTAAATCATTCCACCTTCAGGAGGAGGAAGAGTGCCAGGCTCAGCCCAACATGGATACAGACAGCAGTTAGTGTCAGGGCTTGGGAGAGTGCCTCTTGTTCTCTTCCAGAACTGGAATCCACACCCAAGATGGTAGATTGAGATATTTTATTAGGGAAAGGTCCTTCTCTGCCACCATTTTGAATGTTGCCTTCTCCTTTTCTCTCACCACTGAGAGCAGTGTGGCCAGCAGCCCTGCTGGTACGTTTTCTTCTCATCTGACTGCGCTCTGTCCATCTTTTCTGCCTCTCTGTTCCTTGCTCTTCCAGTTTTTCAGGGTTCCCTTGGCACATGAAGGACTTTTTTTTTTTTTTTTACAGAATTTCTTTTCTTATTTGGTGTGTTGATTCTCAGCCTTATTGGAAAGAATCACGGGGCAGGTAGTCTCCCTGGCCTGGCAGTGGTTATACTGTAAAAGTTTATCCCCTAGGTCAACCATATAAATAAGTTCAAGGGGCCTCACCTAAGATCAGAGAGAGCCCCTTAAAGGAAATCAAGTCATGCCTACCAGGCAGCCAAGGCTCTCCAACAACTAGTCTGCGTTCCACAACTCCTGTCTCTTCTGACTGCCTCGGCTTGCACAGGATTCCTGTTTGTAAAGGAAGCCTGGGTGGGGTAGTAGTTTGGAGAGGGGAGGGAAGCCAGGAAGTTTGAGGCAAGCTGAATTCAGTCCCTCAGAGCAAGTAATGACAAGCCCAGCTTACTCTTAAAGCATCATCAGCAATGCTGAAAGTCCCGGACTATGAGATGCCTGGTCTTTAGCTATGGACTGCTGCACCCTCAAAATGAACCAGACAAATATCCAAGGAAAAAATATCAGCTAACACTTACCAATTACAACTCTAAGTGCTTTCTTGCCCAAAGTCACACAGCTAGTAATGCTTTAACCCAGTCGGTCAGTCCTTAAGATTGGTATTGACCACTAGACAAGGTATTAACCATTGCCTCTAGTTTATTTTGTCACTCTGACACCACCAGACAGACAGGCATTTTGACATGTGTCCCCGCTGCCCAAAACCCCACTTCTGGGCCCTAGTGAATGAGTTCCTTAGGACTCATTCAGGCACATTTGGATCTGATTTCATGCTGCAAATGGTATCTGGGGTTTTAATATATTTTATACTCTACTACCTGCTTTTTACTGTTTCCTCTGTTGGCAAATTTCTCCACATGAGTAGTAATGAACACAAAAAAAGGCTTTGTTCAGGTGTATTTGTTTTTTTAATTGGTAGGGAGTATGGACTTTTTCCATATAATTAGGGGAAAATGAGCTCCTGTCTATGTTTAGGAATTGAAGACACCTTCAGGACAGCTGCCACCGAAGTGAGTCTGCTTGCGGGAAGCGAGGAGTTTAATGCCACCAAACTGTTTGAAGTTGGTAAGAAGATTTTTTTTTCTGTTTTACCCAAATATTGATTTAGTGTTTTGGAGATTCCTTTTGCCCTTGCAATGTCATCCTTGGATCCATTTAAAGGTTTTGTTTCCCTGTTATGGGGTCCAATTCTCCCAGCATATTTCTTGGACAAGATCAAGTTTCTTAACGCAGTACTGCCTCCATTTTCTGATTTGTAAAGTGCTGTGAGGTGCTAGTGCCTACCTTATAGAGTTATTGTAGAATTAAATAAGTTTATATTTGTAAAGCGTTTAGGACATGTCCATCACACTGAACATTTATATAAGTTTTACAGATAAGAATAAGTGAATGGATGTTCTGTGGGTCCATGAATTATGATCACCTTCCCCCTAGAGGAAAACTACAAAGATATTTTCTGAGGCCTGAATTTTGTTTCTGAAGACCCTGCCCTCTGAAGGAGACCCCCACTGGCTTTGAAGACACACACACCCCAGGATGGAATCTCCATTCTCTTAGCTACTACTCAGTTAGGGGCTTGCAGGGGTGGAATCATAGAACTCAGAGCCAAAAAGAACCTCAGCATATCCCTGCTAGCGACATGCTGGACCCTGTGCTGTGCACTCTCTGCGTTCCCTCCCACTTGACCCTCATTACACTTTATGAGACAGGTGCTATTGTCATCCAAATGCAGAGATGAGAAAACTGAAGCACAGTGAGGGAGAATACCTTGCTCGAAGTCACAGAGCTACTACATAGCTGAGTAGGGATTCGATCCCAGGCAGTCTAGAATAAGCACCCACACTTTGCATCTAGACCAGGCCTTTCCAATCTCCTGGTAGAGACCCCATCTCTCTCTTTCTCATTTCACTGAAGAAGGTCCCCAACCGTCCTCCAAGCTGCCCCCTCATCCCAGCTCCCCAGCTCCCTACCCTCCCCGCACCATCCTGGCCACTTGATTTCCACTCAGGGGTCCACCAGTCTCCCAGGCACCTGGGTCAGAGCTGGTAAGTCATCTTTGATGTCTTCCTCTCTTTACTCCCAAGCCCACCAAGGCCTGGTAGCCCTGTCTCTCTGACCATTCTTGATCCAACCTGCTGTCCCCTTCCAGAATATCTAACCTGGACTTTTAGAATTCACATCAACACTGAATGTGTTTTCTTACTGTACAGCTTAGTTAATAGCTCACTATCACTCAAAAACCACCAGTGGTCCCCTAGGGCCCTCTCAACAAGCCTAAACTGCATTGAAGACCACCAAGACCTGACACCAACAACCTTACTTCTCCATAACCTCTGCTCCAGTGAAGCTGAGTATGTTCCCCGCCCCAGACAACTCCAGCAGATTGTTTTCCTGCTCAGCCTTGGTTTGCACAAACATCACGGTTGACTTACTTAGTCGGGTAATTGTTTCCATGGGGTAATGCAGGACCAGCATAAACATATCTTTTGGTTTTTCAAATGAAACCAGGAATCCACATGAATAAGTGGAATCACTTAATTCTTAAATGTTAGCAATTAATTCAATATTTTTAATACTATAAGAGCCAAACATAGCACCTCTGGGGACGGGCTGTGGCTCAAAGCCTATAGGTCAGTGGCCTCTGGCCTAAATGTTAATTTCCCTAAAAGCAGGGGCCACCAGCCCCTTCCCTGTGAAGCGTCTTATCACATGGATTTGCATACAATGATTGTTGCTCTTTAGTGCCAAAGGCTAAGAGGTTAGGACACTAGCTTTAGTTTAAACCAGCCAGTGAGGGGCAGAAATAAAACTTAGTCCTACAAATATTCCTTTGAGGCACTTTCTACCCCATCACCATATATTTAAAGAGGAGATTTAAAATCACCCTCTGAATTATTGTTAATTTTATTATGGGTGATAATGGGGTTATGGGTAACCCCATATCCCCATATCCTTTGTGTGTGTGTGTGTGTGTGTGTGTGTGTGTGCGCGTGTGTGTGTGTGTAGATGCCTACTAAAACTTAGGGATAGTAATATCATATATTTCCAAAAAATGGAAAAGATGAAGCAAATATAATGTTAGTTAAATCTAGGTGATGGCATTTGGGTAGTCAAGTTCAAAGTTCCCAAGTTCAAGGGAGGTAATTATGACCACCTGTGGTCTGGTGGTCTAAGGGGCCTGCAGGGGGTCAACCCTGGGAAGGGAGGGGTAGACGTCAATGTCATCCTGCTGCGGGTTTCACATGTGGTGAGAGGGTTTCTCTGTGGCCTTTTTCAGACGCAGACAGCTGTGAGCGATGGATGAGCTGCAAAAGCGAGTTCTTAAAGAAGTACATGCACAAGGTGATCAATGACTTGCCCAGCTGTCCCTGCTCCTACCCCACCGAGGTGGCCTATAGCACAGCGGACATATTCGACCGCATCAAGCGCAAGGACTTCCGCTGGAAGGACGCCAGTGGGCCCAAGGAGAAGCTGGAGATCTACAAGCCCACGGCCCGGTACTGCATTCGCTCCATGCTGTCCCTGGAGAGTACCACACTGGCTGCCCAGCACTGTTGCTATGGCGACAACATGCAGCTCATCACCAGGGGCAAAGGGGCAGGGACGCCCAACCTCATTAGCACAGAGTTCTCAGCAGAGCTCCACTATAAGGTGGACGTCCTGCCCTGGATTATTTGCAAGGGCGACTGGAGCAGGTATAACGAGGCGCGACCTCCCAACAATGGACAGAAGTGCACAGAGAGCCCCTCGGACGAGGATTATATCAAGCAGTTCCAAGAGGCCAGGGAGTATTAAAAAGACGCCACCTCTAGTATTTGTGACACAAATGCACTGCACTGATCTGCTGCCTGGAACAGAATTCCTCTTATCCACATATGTGTGTATTTGTATATACCACATACGTATTTTTCATAAATTACACTAGGGATGTGCGCCAGGCCCGGTGACTGCCATCTGTAGCCACCCTTGCCATCCGCAATGCCCACCGACCTCCTTGGAACTCCTCCTAGGGGTGATATGGACAGGAGGATGAGGACAAAGAAGTCAGAAGAAGAACCTGGAAGCCATAGTGGGTGGGATTCAACTCACACCCAGATCCAGTGTTTCCTAGAGAAGCAAAGAAGGAAAGAGACTGAAGCTGTAAACATTATAAGTTTTTATATATAACTTATTTAATATGAATGTGACTTAAGCGTAACCTTTTCTCTGGAGTTGTCATCGTGAAACTGTTTAATCACGTCTGTGAGAGTTCAGACAGGGCTTAAGGAGGTGGAAGAGAAAGGGACTTTGTAATGATTTCTTTAAAAATAAATAACTCAATGGAAGCATATCACAACAAGAAAACACCCACCTTAAACCAAATATTATTTAGTCATGAGGCACCTTGTTAAAGTGTTGGTGTCCAAAATGCCCTTGCATAAGACTGGGTAGGGAGTGGGGGGGCAAATGGATATTTTAGGGATAAATCTGAGGCCTGGTTTTAAATAGGCTTTAAAGTAAAAGGTCAATATTAGCATAATGTTTTGATTCTACTAAAAGGCTTCAGAATGGCAGAATTTCTGCTCATTATCTTACTAAGTCCAGAAGGCTGCAGGAAGGTTGGACATAAAAGCAGGGAGTAGCACTTTTCCAAAGAAAAAAAGCAAAATAAATGGGAAAATAACTTGGACCTCATTTCATCTATCTTATTTTAATACCATCTTAACAATCTTTTCCTCCACCAATATATTCGCAATAAATAAATATAAAAAGAGGAGGGGGACTCAAGTCTAGGAAATCCTAATTTTTTTATGTTTTAAGAAAGGATAAAAACTACATTATTTTTGTAAAGTATTTATTAAGTCATTGAGTCTTCTGCATCAAGCAGTTGTAATATGACCTGGTTCTGTAGTGTGGAACTTAGGACAAATAAAGAGTTGGTTTTTTACTTGCAAAACTCCAGGAAAAGAGAATATATAACAAAATCATAATAAAATGTGTTACCTACAGTAAATGTGTTATCTGCAAATATTTATGATACAAATACCATAAACATCCCTGGTGAACCAGGGCTTTGAGGCAGGGGAGAGGAAGGTTTAAACTAGGTGGGAATAAAAGACTCATTGATTGACGTGGTGATGGGTGGTGTAAATCATAGCATCTTTGGCTCCAAGAAAGTCAATCCAGCCCCAGGAGGTCGAAGCTCATTGACACATGTGCAACTTTTTGCCCACCCAGCACTAAGAAAGACCTAAGGAAACTAAGCCAGAGCAAAGGCTTAAGACAGCCCACGCAAGCAGGGCTGCTTCCAAATAAAACTCTGCAATTATGGTAATGAGTAGAACTACTCATCATGCAAATTATTTCTTTTCCAGACGACAAAAGCAAAATTTAGATAAAATAAATCACATTGGATCCATCTTTTATTTCCTAGCACAGTGCTCTTTCTACTATATCGATTTTTTGGTGTCTTCATATTCCTAGTGTCTTTGATATTCCAAATGACCCCACCCTTAGGTTCTCCTAATAAGATCATGTTCATATGGAAAAGCTCTTACCAGTCATTTACACTTTAGAATTCATTATTCATGTATTGCCCAATCTCAGGATATTTAAGATCTATTTCTAATTACTGTATTTCCCCATGTATAAGACGCACCCTCTTTCGAAAAATTTGGGGTCTAAAAACTGGGTGTGTCTTCTACAGTGGTTGTATGAGCACAAAAACAAGCACAGAAAAAGCAGGAAACGCAAGTAAAAATATCTACAACCACTGTATAAGACGCACCCAGTTTTTAGACCCAAAATTTTTTGAAAGAGGGTGCGTCTTATACATGGGGAAATACAGTATAAAATAAGAAGCCTTATTCATAGCTGAAGGAATTTTAGGCAACTAAACTGGTACAGAGAGAATCAATATGGAAGCAGGTCTGGTTTCTAATAATAAGAAAACTACTTTTGCAAAGAGAATTCATTGCAATGAAATGCCATAGCTTTTAGGTGGTAAGTTCCCTGTCAGGACAGGTATTCAAGCAGAGGCTGGAGATGATCCACGTGAGAAGTTTGATTGACCTGATAAGGAGAGACAAAAAATGTACATCAATAACACCCTTTGATATGTGTTCTATTAAGGGTAAGTGCAAAGAATGATGGGAAAATACAGGTAAAATCAGGAAAGTGCCTGTTGGGTCTAAAGGAGGAGGAGTGATATTTCATAAAGCATCAAAGAAGGAGGGGGAAGTGGGTGCATTTGGAGTAAGAAAATAGTATGCACAAAGGCAAGCAACTAGGAAAGAGCTTAGTGTTTTCTGAAGACTGGGGTGTTTAGAGTGATAAGCAGAGAAACAAGAATGGCAAGTTATGGAGCCATATCTCAGGTATTTTTGTTAAGGATTTAGCATGGAATATTAAAGGGCACAGAGCTCTTTCTTATTGCAGTGAAAGTGACTGAGACGAGCAATGTTTTCAAGGGCTTTTTGTCTTTCCTTATCAGACCTTGCTGACCTAATGAACTGAGAGTTGGAAGATGGGGTGAATTGAAAACAGGGGAGAGCTCCTGGGCACTTTGTCTACTGAAAACACTCCTTGTATTTCATACATCATCAGGATAATGTCAGACCTCTGGAAATTTGCTAAACTATAATCTGCCTCTTCAGTTTTCAGTCCCAAAGATCTAGCAGGCCAGGGAGTGATCCTCAGAAATTCAGACCCTTCTGTTCAGGTTATCTAATGAGACAAGTAGACCTTATCTCATTCAGTACAGGGCCCCAAGCCAGCCCTAGGGTAACCCCAGGTAATGAATTCCCTCTCGGAAAGTAGATCATGTGTTCAAGGCCACTTTGCCTGTAACAGAGTAGGCTCTCTGCACCGTCACCTGCAGCACTTGTAAATATGACCCTTCAACAGCTGCGCTCATCAAATGCTTTGCTCTTTTGCTTCTCTCTGGAAAGACAGCACTATTTCTAGTAATCCACTGGGCCTCTTGGGTGCCACATGTGAGCAAACCAATAGTTGTAAACAGAGATGCCTAAGGCCCTCTAGTGGCTGCACACGGAAAGAGCGAGGAAGAGGCTGGGAAAGTGCAGAGCTTTCTCTTTAGCCCCAGTTCAAGTGTCCGCCATGATTATAGTCTCCCAAGTGTTTCTGTCTTTATAGCTCAGTGGCCGAGAGGCTGGAGTTCTTCACCCTAAGACCAGGGTTCAAAGAATAGTTGCTATCCCAGCCACTCTTTCCTGAGCACACACTTTGTGCCTCTGTGCTAATCACTTTACCATGGGAAGCAGGCAAATGAAATCCATTTTACAGGCCAAGAAAAAGGAGCCCAACAAGGTTAGCAAACTTGCCCAAGGTCATAACACTCTGTAAATGGCAGAGCTGGTTGAAGTCAGTTCTGTCTGATCACCAAGCCCATGTTCTTAACCCTAAACCCCTTGCTCTGCTCTCTTCCTCTTCCCAACACTCACAGGGTCAGTTTTGTTTGTTTCTTTGTTTGTTTCTTTGTTTGTTTTGCTCCAACTCACCGTGCCTTTGCTCAAATTGTTCAAATCTGCCGAACATCCCTGTACTAATCTTTATAGTGTCTCACATTGGAGACAGAGGATCTGGCTTCATTTCTACATATTCTGCTCCATTCTCTCATCCCATAAGATGATTTTTGTTTCTGTAGCTGAGTCCTAGCTCAGGTTAGGTAAGTAGCAGAGTTCAACATTTCTAGCTCCAGGATGAGAACAGAGACTGTTTTGTTTTCCCCACTACACATAAGCCCCAGACTGTTGCCTCTTGAATAGACCTCAGGGCCTGCTGGTGCTGTGCCTCATGCTTTCCTACATTCCCAGCTCCTAACACTGCACCTGGCAGACGTCATCAGGTAACGTGCAGAGGGCTTAAAAGATTGAACTTTGCATCAGTCTGCCTAGATTCCAGTCCTTGTTCCCTCACTTGCCTTCTGGATACCACTGGATAAGTTAACCAGCCTCTATGCATTTCAGTTTCCTCATACAGTTGTTGTGAGAATGAACTAAGATAAGAGATATAAAGTTCCCAGCACAGGGCCCGTCATGTACCATCTGCAAGGAAGGTTGGCTATTGGTATTTAACAACTAGACAAATATTTATTGAACATCTACTAGTTGAGAAGCATTGTTCCACATGTCAAAGATATTGTAGTATACAAATCCAAGTCTTTTCTTCCCACTGGAGAGTAGATAGCGGATAAATAAATAAGTACATAATCTGAGATAATGGTAAGTGATAAAAAGAAAAATAAATTATTTGCTCACACATGTATGTTGCACTATTTAAGGTAATGTTAGCTGGTACAAAAGATAATCCTCAAAATCATAGTGGCCTAACACAATAAAAATCTGAAAAGCGTATTTCTTCTCAAGTGACTCTCCTCTAAGTGATGACCCAGGCACCCAGGCTCCTTCCATATTGTGACTCGGCAATCTTCAAGGTGTGACTCTCTAGGATACTCTTGGGGTCATCTCTATTCCAGCGTGCTCAGAGAGTAAAGAACAGGTAGAATATGCATAAAGGTTTGTATAGGTCAGGCAGGGAAGTCTTGTACATCATTTCCACTCAACCTCCACAGATCTGTTACATGCCACACTCTTCTGCAAGGGAGACTGTGAAATGGAGTCCAATTGGGGACCCAGTAAGCAAAGATAGGTTGTGTGGGCACCCAGCCAGCCTCTGCTACACAAGTAGACCACCAACTGCCTGACTGCACAAGGCAGGAATGCAAGTTAGTAGAATGGGCTCTGGTTGGGCCCAAAGTAGATGAAAAAAAGGAGAAACCCTTCTCATCCCATCACCACCTTCCACTTGGCATTATAGTACTAAACTGGACCTCAGTTTAATATCTATAAATTGGATAAGACCACCTGTCATATTGACTGGCAGATACATTTGATGTCCTTCATATCCCCTTAGCACTTGCCCAACTCTCAACTGGAAGTTCTTGCAAGTCTTGGCCTGATGGCATTCTCTAGCCAGTGGGGCCCACTTGGCTTGCACAGGGCAGACTGAAGTGTCAAAGAGTTAACAGTGCCTTCCAGGAACATTTAACAGTTGACTGACAGGAACTTGGTGTATGAAGAGCCCAGATCTCTCACCCCTCAAGTGGGGCAATTCTGCGACATATTTTATACTATTTCCGGAACTCCCAATAGGACTGAGCTTAGTCATCCACAGTGGTCACCAGCTTGCTAACACACCATGTAATGGCTTCCTTCCTATCTCTGTCTTCCGTTTCCACTTCCCTACTGTTGCTCATGGAATCATATTCCAAATGAGCTACTTGCTCAGATCCTTCTCTCCAGATCTGCTTTTGGGAGGTCCCAAACCAAGACATCACTTCATGCTTTAATACTTACTAAGTGCTATTCAGATATAAGCTTATTATCATTGTCATCATGCTTGTGGGAGATGAGGTTTTGTTGTTGGTGATAGCTTTACCAAAAAAGTAACTTCAATCTCATTCTGACCAGACACAGGAACTTTACTAAATTTAAATACCACGGAGTTTTTACCAAAAAAAATTAAAAATTAAAAATAATTACCAAAACCCCAGTTTTTATTATTAGATTCAGCAGATAAAAAATAACTCTGCCAAATACCTCTAAAATTTTCTGAACACCTTTTCTTAACTTTTGAGTTCATCTCTTTGCTGACTGCACCCCAGTCCGGCTCCGTGGACCACACTTTGAGTAGCACTGCTCTAATCAACTGAGCCACAGTGAGCAACAGCCCCATGAGCAATGATTCTGGCCTGACGTACAAAGAGTCATGAAAAAGCTTTGCAGGAAGTATGTGTGGCAAGGAGAGGGGATGGGGTTCTCTCTTTGTTATCCATTTACAATTTCCAATGGAAAAAATGTGTGGGTCGTCACCATTATGCCTGCACAATTTCAGACTAATTAAAGGCTTGCCTCAGTAATTACTGGGTGGGTATATACAGAAACATACATCCATGTGTACAGATCCTGAATACAGTAG